TCTGAAAGACTTTTTAATAGAAGCTCTTGAGGACATAGATTTGCTGGAATGGCATCTTTTTTTAACAACTGAAATTTATCTCAAGAGTCTGTTACTCTTATTTTAGCTCTCATTATTCTGGGCATGTCATAATTAAACTGAAAGAATTAATATTTTTGAATAGCAGGAGGCTTTTTATACAACATACTAAGTGCTGGGGTCCAATTACAAAAAAGACCAGTTTGTTCATCTAAATTTATAGAAGTGTTATTATTTGTACTTCTGTTTATTATATCAGTTAAATAATCAATACACCAAGCTTCTGATTTTGTATACTCAAGCTTAGTATAACCAAATCCATAATCAACAGAATTTTTTGTGTGGCTTTTAATCTGAAATTGGTAATTAATTTTTTGAAATAGTTTGATATTATATACCCAAAGAAGATACCAAAGAAGATGTAAATTTTTATTTTGTCTGTCGTAATTATTTGTACATAGTTTAATTTCTTTTACTTCACCTGCTTTAGAAACAAGAAATTGATGCAACATCAAAGCAACCTTTTGATGCTTTACCCTTAGTATAAATTACATACCAATATTTATCAATACTTTTATCTACTAAGCCTAATTGATGCACTTTTAGTAATGACAAATAATACTATATTTTAGGCTATTAAGAATTATAAGGTAATTCTATATTTTAAGCAAAATCAAATAAAAAAATATGAAAAGAAAAACATTCATAGCTTTTTGCTTTTTTAATATCATCTTCATAAATCTTTCTCATATTTTGATAGTCCTGTATATGAGTTATTAATTGTTCATTAAAATCTTTATTTACTATATCATCACTTTTTTTTAATACTCATCTGTATAAAGTATATTCATCACATATATCTTTGGATAGCTTTCTTATTAATATTTTACTAAGCTCATTGTCATTTTTCATATTTGTTAAAAAGTCTAATGGCTTTCAATACAATTTTCTTGATTTATCAAATTGTAAAGATCAAGAAGACGATTATAAGAATAATAAGATAATAAAAAAACTATATTATCCTTTTTATAATTTATAGTTATTTTTTTATCTTTTTTTTTACAGGTATACTTTCAAATAGCTTGTTTTTCACCATGCTGATTATCAAAGGTTTTAATAAAAAGCTTAGCTTTATTAACTATTTTAGCAGATAAAATATTCTTAAGCCAACAACCAATATTACTATAAGGCTTAGGTAATATCAATATATATTCTCGAATCTCATTACGAAGATGGTTGATAACTTTTTTGCTATATATCCAAAATGTTCGAAAAAAACTAGAACAAATATTACCAAAATAAGGAAGTTAATAGTTTATAATAGTACCAGAACTTTTTTTTTGTATAGATCAGGATTAGAAGCAGCAATAAGTATTGATACTGAATAATAATATTTTTTTGTTTATAGTAATACTTTCTAATGCCAAAGACTATAATAAATTTAATAGAATCTTTTTATCACAATTTTCTTTACACGTACAACATTGTTGAAGCTTTTTAATAAGATTTTTTATATTTGTTACAAGAGATTTATTAGGATTCCTGAATACATTATCTTCACTACTTGATTCGTTATCAGAATAAGAATTATTATCTATATTAGAGTAAGAGTCTTCATCTATATCAAAGTAAGAGTTCTTATTTATATCAGAGTATAAGTCCTCTTTTACTTTATAATCAGATTCTGAATTATCAAAAAATTGTACCAAATTTTCTAAAAATCTATTATAAATTGATATAAGTAAGAACAAAATTATTGAATTGGATCTGAAGTATAATGCTTATATATTTATCAAAAAAAATATTTTTAATATTTTACTAGCTAGAACAACTAAAACTTATTCGACTTAATCGATTAATTAATAGTTATCAGGTAGAATGTAGATAATATTGGGTTAGTATCATTTAGTGGCTATTTGTTAGCTCAGATTATACTATGTAGCAGTATGATCAGAGTTAATCAAATGGTCACTAAATGATACTGATACAATGTTGCCTATATTCTATCTGATAACTATATTATTCAGGAGTGATTATTGATCATATTATATACTTATATTAATTATGTAGATTATTGTTATTTTGTATAAAAATTAGTTTATTGATTAATTATATGGTTTCTTGGGATTTTTTTTTTTCTTATTTTTTTCACCCTTTTTTTTTCTTTCTTTTTTCTTTTTCCCTTTTTTTTTTTTTTTTACTCAGAAACTTTTTTAACTTGGATTAAAACAATCGTTAATATAAATATTTAAAAAACAAAAAAAGATATATATCCAAAAAAGGAAATATTAAGATTCTGAATTAGTTCGAATGTAGAATAGATATTGATATATCATGATATAGCATCAATAGTAACTACTGGATAATTAATAATATTGGCTAATATTAATAACTGAATGAATTGTAACTTTAGACTGAATCAGATAGAGTTAATAATGAAGCTAATAAAACTAATTAAAAATTTCAATAAAGCCTAATATATACTTATCTATTAAGCTTCATTCAAACTTTTTTAATAGATAATTATTAAATTACTATAAGAGCTAATTCAATTTTTAAAAATAGACAGTAAAATAACAATAATCAAACTTTTAAGAATTAATTACTATAGTATTGGAAGTCTATACTCAACAGTTACATGAAGTGTTTCAATTTTTTAAATAGCTATAACTTTTTATCTAAGAGGTTTAAAAAAAATCTGACTAGTAACTTTATAGAGCTATATCAGCTCTACATATCTGCCAAATTTTATTTCAAAATCTCATCACTGTAAAGAGTTGATGCATTTTGAAAATTGAAATTTTATATGTAAATTTATAAATTTATATATAAAATTTTAATTTTCAAAATGCATCAACTCTTTACAGTGATGAGATTTTGAAATGAAATTTGGTAGATATGTAAAGCTGATATAGCTCTATAAAGTTACTGGTCAGATTTTTTTTAAACCTCTTAAATAAAAAGTTATTGCCATTTAAAAAATTGAAACACTTTGTGTAACTATTGAGTATAGACTTCCAGCACCATATAATGTGAAAAAAAATTTATTATTTTTTAAAATCAATTTTATTAATAAATAAAATAAAACAAAATAATATTTTTTACTTAAAATATATTTGTATGACAAACGTTTAAAATACTATTGAACTCTAACTGTTCCAATTCTATTTGTGCTAATATGAACTACAACTATAATAATGGCAAAAAGAATACAATATTAAAATCAACAAAATCAATGCTATACTAGCAACTTAATAAAATTACAAGCAATAACTATATAACCCAAATGATATTTGTTTAGAATATCTAAACAGTATTAGTTAAACTAAACCTATAGAAAAAAAAATAATAGAAAAGCAATAAAAGAAAACTACTTATGTTACAAGATCTCTAGTTGCATTACCTAATGCTATAGTAAAGTTGACTCTACAAAAAAAAAAAGATTAATTCAAGCAAAAAAAAAAAAACAAAAGATTAACAAGAAAGGCTACTTATCTTATAGACCTTCAAGAATCCAGTTCTAATCTCTACTAATCTATATTTTAGTAAATAGCAAACTAAGCCTACAAAAAAAATTAGTTTAGATGAAAAAAAAAATAAAAAATTAATGGTAAAGAAACTACTTATTTTACAAGTATTCAAGATTCTGGTTCTATGTTCTGGCGAACAAGATTTTAGTCTAAATCTTCACTAGCCAGTGTTCTAGTGATATTGAATCTATGAAGAAAGAAAATTAGTTTAAGTGAAAAAAATATATATATATAAAAATTTATAATATATGAAAAGTAAAAAAATAAATGTTTTGATAATCTAATATTTCACTAAAATGAGTATGATAATTTTCAGGGGTTATATATAATTAAAATCCTGATATAACATTGATCAGACAGGCTAAATCAAATAAATTAACTATAATGCTGAATGTTCCTTTTTTCTTGGCGGCACTCATATAATAGCTTTTTAGATTTTATAATTTGCAAAAATTATAGCATCACAAAGTTTTTATATAAAGTATAAAGTTAGTATTGCTATATTAAAATTTTGTTTTATTTAAAATTGTAAAAGTTATATTTTTATTTAATTATGGACTAAAGTTTTTAAAAACTTTTATATTAGATTATAAAATATCTTTATCATATAATAAAGAGTTTTAAAATCTAAATTTACTTTCTTAATTTTTTTTATTTTATTATTAACTTTTTCTTATATATTAAATTAAGAAATTTATTAACTTCTCTATTCTTCAAATTTTACAAATATTTAATTCAAAATTTGATATAGTTTAATATAATTTGAGTTATATTATATCCCTTAAACTATATTTCAGACAAATTTGTTTAAAAAATTTAATTGTATTTAGTTTTTTTTTTTTCCACTTAGGTGAGTCACGTTAGTATTTATTGTTTAATAAAGCTATCACTCTGTAGAAAGAGCA